CACTGAAACTATGTTTTCTGCTAGATTAAAGATTCTGCCAAGAATAACAAATCTCAAGATGCTGCTAACCAATCAATACCATTACCCTGCAAGGACAGTGATAACTACGGATGCACCAATCATCTATGCCAGATTGGTATTGGAGCCGATACTGGCCTAAGACTGATCCACATTAAATACAGTTTATTTGTTTCAATGTCATAAAAATCTATATTCATTCAGTCACAGCGGGCCTCCAAGTCAATGCTCAGTGCCACAGCGACCCTTGGTACTTTACATAAAAGTGATTCAGATGAGTTCCACATAGTGTAGCATAGTGTGGATTTTAAATGTGGTAGAAAGAGAGTGCTGCTATGTGATCAATACTCTATATCAGCATACATCCTTAGTTAAAGTATCGATATTGGAGGAGAAAAACTTGGCAAAAAAGCATGCCTCCAATAACTGCCAATGATGTGTGGTCTGCTCTTACTGTGTACTAAAACGTTTTCCAGAAACTGGTTAATTCTAGGTAATTGTAAATTAGGTAATCAGAGACCTGTCAAAAATGTTTATTCTGTTGTCAGCTTTGTAGTGTGAAACATGGCAAGATTTGTTTTATAATGCTGTCACTATAGAATTGGCTGAAACACACTCATACTAACACTGTGGCCTATATACAAGTCCCGAGTTTGATTTGTAGCCCTGAAACATCATCCAAGGCCTTTCACATAAACAGAAATGCTCTGTATATATGCAGTGTGGTACAGTACAGTACAATACGTGACATAACTGCTGTTCTCTGCAGCCACTAAAAACACCTTCAATCTGGGGCGAGGACATAAAATTAAAAAAAAGTAAAAAGTTATTTACTGCCAGGCTCAACACTAGAAAATTAAAAAACAAAAAAACAAAAACAGCATTATAAACTGTGTTGAGGGTCCACCCTTGATAAACCCGTCAGTGTGCTGCTTTATTACTGAACACAGTGATACACAAGACAACACAAAAGTATACATTACAACCTGTGTCCCAGGAGTTGCATACTTACTTGATAGGGGTATTGAATTATTCAAAACCACAGGAAGAATAAAAGATGAGTAAAGGGTTTTCTCAGCATATACAGTGACTGTGTGACACAGCAGCAAAGAAAATGTTACATAACTCTCATTAATGTGTGAATATTGGAGGATCATTTGGGGTAAAGCCTGTGTTCCCAGTGTACTGTGTTACACAGATGTGAGTTTGCATTGTTTAGTATCACAATGATATTTTCACTCCTGTACTCAGTCTTTGTTTGTCATTTTAAAATTATCGATACGCAGCTCCTTATAATCCTTATAATGTGAAGTAATCCAGACATTAGTTTCAAGCTTCTATTCAAATTATTAGCAAAACAAAACCATTAGAAGTTTAAACAATGACGCAGACACACAGCTGGGAACAAAACGTGAGCCTGATTTTAAAAAAGCTGTATTTCTTGATATTAACAGATGTTTGTGTTTTGTCAGCAAGATTTTTCTGTACAATATTCAGATTTTCTTCAAAACATTATACAGTTTCTTTCTCAGAGTACGGACTAAAACTGAGTTTAAATTCAAATGTTCAAATTTGAACATATTTAATTGAATGTGCTTTTTTGCCTTCAAATCTTTGTTTTACAATGTTCAATGTCCCAACATAGCACCATTGATAAATCAGCTGCAGAAAGAGACATCAGCTGTACTAACAGTTTTCACACTTATGTGTTAAACAATGAGTGAGAGGGACAGTTATGTACACGAGATCTAAATGGCAGCAAACGTCTTCTCAAAATTGACTGAAAGCGAGGGAGACTACTTCGAACTACCCTGTACTTTTTCACTTGAGTTGAATCAGTACTTCTACTTACTGTAGTCTTTTTAAGAATGTGTGTACTGGACAGTGTAGTGCAAGTTTGTGATGGTGCAAAAAGATAGTGAGGGCAAGCTCTTCGTATGTTATTCCAGCTACAAGGAAAATACCAAGACAGATAAACTACGGCAAGAACTGGAGCCTTGTTAGGTTTTTTGTGATTAAGGGACAACTATAAGCGCTTGCAGTTTAGCAGAAAGCTGCTTAGCGAAAGTGCTCCAGGCTGCTCATGTTGTGTCTACATCTGCTGATTTCCAGTGGCTGTGATGTGTCTGTTGTTTTTGTCTTGCTTTGCAGCTGAGGTCTTGGAGAGAGCTTTCTTTAAAACAAAAGGACAGAAAAGGAAATGGTGTGAGTGCAGACAAGATGTGTCTTAGAGGGAGCAGACTGAGAGAGGTGAGTTTTGGCAAATCCACAAATCACTTTGATTCAGGAGCCTCAGGAACATGTCATGATTTTTTCCATTATCGATTTATCGTTCAGTGTACAAAATGTGACCAAAAAAACACTCAATATATTTAGTATACAATGATGAGCAAATTCTCACAATGGAAGAAGGAAAATAGTGTAGGAATGTTTGGCTTTTTTGCTTGAAAAATGACTGAAAATCTTGATTTATTTATCAAAA